AGAATAATCGGAACTGACTTGGTCAGGACTGGTCCGACCAAGCCTGCCAAGAATAGAATATGCACGGCCCCCTAACCCAGATTCCGCTTTTCACTATTTTTAATACCTTATATTATTATATTCAAGTAAAAAATTTCTTAATTAAACTCCTTGTTTCCGTGGATTATGCTAAATATTCTTGGGAGAATTGGAGTAGAGATAATACCTTACTTAGATTCGGGGCAGGGAAAATAAATTCACGAGTATCAAATTCTTGTTGGAAATAGCAGTAGATGGCCGCACTTGATGCGGGATGTGCTCATACATGAAGGCATCAGTAGCATATGTCTGTACCCCTGTAAGACGCATATGCCATGCAAACTTTCTCATCCCTGTCTTTTTCTTCCCTTCTGTCTTCTCTTGCGAGTGAACAACTTCCTGTACTTTACCTCTCACCTCAAGTTCTTCATCTCAGTCATCTTTAAGCAATCAATCATGGTCTTTCTCTTTACCTGAGAGAAACCTCCTATCTCCACTTGTGTGATTCTACTCCGCTGCGTAAACCCTCACTACCGATCATTACCTCCATATCAATCATTTTCTCAACAATTCTTTCTGTTCACTAAGTGAGTGATATTACATGACTAGACAATCTTTTATGAATACTGGTCTAGGACCAAGCCTGGAGCAGCTCGGGCCACCCAAGTTAGTCAGGTCCAGTCATTGACATCACCAGGACTGGCCAGCCTGGTCTTGTCTCCAAGACTTGACCAGTCGGACTATTCGGAACCCTGTGGAATGCTGAATATAAGGGACTACAAGTACCGGGGAAATATCTTTTGGTCTTCCGAAACTGCTATCATATCAATCGAACATGGTGGGGGCACCGTTTGTGATAAATGGATAGCCTAGCTAGGAGGAGTGATTGATAAACCGTGAAGGCTGAGATTCATGGTTTATCACTCACAGGATGTACTAACATAGACCAATTGGGCTATGAGAGGATCTGCCAGCCATGCCTTAGATGGGGAAAATTGTTTGTGCGGACGGTCACATTTCAAGTGCAGTCGTGTTAGAGAATACTTGGCGATGATTACAGGGGGGATAAATTCTTGACGAAATCGGGTTGGAAGCTAAAAGTGGTTTTAATGGGAGGCCGGTAATGGGTGCGGAAGAGGCAATCCTCCCGGGTCCGCTACTTCCAATACGCTCTCGGTGGCCACCCAGAGACAAGTTATTTAGGATCAGGTTGTCTTTGATTGTGAAGTTGCGGGACAGGAAACATCATTAGTCGGGGGGTCGGAGGTGTCTAGCCAGTGCCGATATGGACTGGAGTGAAGACCCAAATATTGGAGGAGGAGTTCACGTCACCAGCTAATGGATTGATAAGAAAAAAAGACCAGAATGAGCTAAGAAGATAGCTCGTGACTACATAGACTAGGAGTAAGGGGTTTATTTTGTTATTCCAGAATGAGTATTTGAAATATTTATAAAGTTACAACGAGCGATAAAGAAAGATTGATTTTGTTGTGAAAGCTTATGCATCCTAATTTCCACTATTTCCGCTAGTTTTGAGCCAACCGGAGAACAAGCCTTTCAACACACCCAGGCATGGATAATCCCTCTCGCGTAACAGCCATATTCGCTCAAGTGCACTTATCATACCGGGTTTTGGAGACCCCGCGGGCTGCTGGGGCCTAAGCAAGTTCAATCATCCAGCTTAACCAAAAGAGGGATTGGGGTCAACGGGAGAAAGCCCGCTATCCCCAGGAAGACCCATCTACCGCACCCTGAAACCACATTCCCCAAGTTTAATCACCCCGCTAGGGCATCAGCTTAGCCTGTCTGAGATTCATGCACTGCTAAGATCTCTAGCTGATATCGATATCATTGTAGGAACGGCCTGTTGAATAAAAGCAGCGAATAAAATATGGAATCCTGCCCCGGATCTTTATCATGAGGAATCACTCGCTAATTGGTCATAGGGGAAGTGTTGAAAAATGATTGATTAGGAGGTAATGATCAGTAGTGAAGATTTACGCAGCGGAGTAGAATCACGCAAGTGGAGATAGAAGGTTTTGCTCAGGTGAAAGAGAAAGACCATGATTGATTGCTTAAAGATGACTGAGAGGAAGAACTTGAGGAGAGAGGTAAATTATGATACAAGAAGTTGTTCACTCGCAAGAGAGAACTGAAGGGGAGAAAAGACAGGGATGAGAAAAGTTTTCATGGCTTACGCGTCTTCCGGGGGTACAGATATATGCTACTGACGCCTTCATGTATGAGCACATCCCGCACCAAGTGCGGCCATCAACTGCTATTTCTAATAGGAAGAAAGGTTAGTAGGTTTGAGCTACCGCCTATTCCTGTTATCGCTTACTCCCAATATTTCCTTTCATCCGGTACCCCGGAAATGTCGCTTTCTCTTGCTCAACCACAGCTGATTCCATCCCCGGTTAGTGACACTACGACAAGGGAGTAGTGGTAGGAAATCAGTTCTTGAACAGTCAAATCGATCATCTACTTATATCACCTCTTCCTCTGATTCGTGAAGAGCGCTGCCAAGTCTGCCCTCCATACTGCTAGTCTAAAGCGCATTCCTGGACCTGGAGCTTTTATGAATCTGGTCATTGGGATCCTTCGGACCACAGTCTAACCAGGCACGAGAATTGAAGCTGAAGAAGGAGGTTATGGGGGAGTGCTACCAATAGAATTTATACAAGATGAGAAAGCAGTTAAAGCTTCCCCACCTGTTCTAGAGTTACGAACTAAGTGTCGATCCCCCCCGGCCCCGGTAGTATCTAGTGGACAAAATAAGGGGCTGTGATCCATCCAACCTGCTTTAACTATTAAATAACTCCCTAAGTTCGTTTCGCATGCGGACCCAAAGGTTTACCTAAGTTAGCCCGGGTTATATTTCGGTGGATAGAGTCCACCCAGGTGGGGGAACTTGGCTCATTTTCAACCCTGGTTACCGAATTTCCAACTCGCCTTGTCCAAATTCATACCCGTTATCAAATTTGACCTAGATGGGGCTGGGTACCGCCATGGGGGATTCTGTGCACTACAGTGTCACTCTCGACGCTAGCCACAACCACTCGTGTATTGCCAAGATATCTATGGGGTGGTACATGTAGAAAGAGTAAAACAAACAAAGAGTAGAAAAACAAGGACACCAACAATCAATCCCCCGCGAACGAAGAAGACTCCTTTTCCTAGACAGCAGCCCCCTCTACGAACCAGCAACTATGGCCTCTATTCTGCTCCCAGAAGGTGGGAAGGAGACGGAGAAGGAAATATGGAGGAAATGGAAAAGGTAAGCTCAAGGTCCCATTCCCGTATGCACCAAGACGGGACAGGGTTGGCTGATAAACAAATTGGTAAGCGAGATAAACACGCTTCCCGTCTCCCAAACTTGTTTCACCTGTCTAGCCTCAACTAAAGAAATACTTCTCAAGTTACTACTTCTGTCGGGGGGTCGTTGGATAGGCCGATATGTTTGGGGTGAGTATGGATGTATCCTCCAACCGGGTTTTGAACATCGGATCGGAGAAGGCTATAGCGATAGCGAAATGAACGAACGAACGAACTACGAAACGACGGTGGAACGATCGAATGACGGGCTATGAAACTAAACGACACCTGGTGAGAGGGTACAGCCAATGCCACGCAACGAACACGAAACGAACACGAAACGAAACTAAAGGCCAAGATCTCATATAGAACGATCGCACGACTCACGAGGAGGGGGGAAGTCTTCACTTCGTCTACCTTTCACTATCGTGCATAACTAGCTAACGGTAAAGACAGGAGTATATATCGACGGCAAAGCAAGGAAGTCCTAACTCTCCAGGTAGGTCTCCCACACACTAGCAAACAAGAAAGGCTAACAAGGGAAAGGAAAACTCCGCCTACGAATAGCCTCCGGCCATCCTTTTGGCCGTTCTGCTTTCCTCCCAGCCTTCCCGCCTTCCTTCCCGCCGAAGCATTTCTGCAACTTGAAGACTTCAGCACATTTCCACGGCCGAAGTGCTTTCCCGAAAAAGCCAAACTGCGCGGGGGGAAGCCATGCTGGATGGGGAACCAAAAGCGCGTTCGCGGAGAGTATGCGAACAGACAAACTATCGTGAGAGCATGCCGAGCAGTATCTCACAATTTCTAACCCCGCACAGCAAAAATCCGAGATGTACCAAATGTTTGTCTCCCAACCGGGGAATTATAATAATGGAGATTGGGTCAAACAAAAGTCAATTGGTGTAGAGGATTATAGTGGAGCATTCAGTGTGTGAGGGCGGCTTTTGTAAGGTGGAACAAGGGGCTGTGTAGGGTGTTGGACTGGGTGCTGGATTGATGAGATGGAGAGATAGTGGGTCTAGAGAGGTCGGCTAGTGCACGAACGTCGTAGATCCAGGTTTGTAGATTCGGGTGAACTCCCGGTGAGGAGATCTCAAATTTGGGAGAAGGTCGTGGAAGTCTAGGAGGATAGTTGGTAGCAGAAGGGTGGTTTGGATTCAAGTAACGAGTAGTTGTATGTTCGGGCTGACCGCGAGAGCATGGTTATGTGGCAACAGACCGACGGGGACGTAGCGAGTGCAGGTAGCGGTAGTAATGTGAAATACTGGCAAAAAAAAGAGACAGGGGGAGGAAAAAATGTGGGGTAGGATAGAGAAAGTATCCAGAATTGGTGGCGGCTTTCGGAATAGGATATCCATGTAGTCGACAAAGCGCTGTCTGGTTGTGCTGCGTGTGTCATACTAGCAAAATTATAGGTTCGGATCTGCCCCATGCTCGAGGAGAAGCTGCGCAATCGATTCACAGGGAAATTCTTTAGCTGCTCGCAGTGCATTTCCATACGTGCCACCCTTCGCATTCACCTCTGCTCCACGCTCGAGGAGAAGCCGCACAACCGATTCGTTTTTCCCGAATGCTGCGGC